TTGGAGAGGGAAAGGTAATATAACATAAGTGATGGCATGCAATTTACTTGGACTTTCAGGTCCTCCTTGAGCCTGATCTCATGTATACAACTTATAATAAATGACAAAGTGCTGCTCTGCATGTCCAAATTGATGTTTCTGTGGGTCAGACAATACACAATTCATAGCGGGCAGTTCAGGATAATTGGTGACTTGGTTGTCCATGGCTAGAGGTCCAGACTTTACTAAGGTCCACTACCAGGCCATAAGGTGTTTCTCAAATGTAAAATAATTATCCAGAGAATTGCAGGGCTTTGCTCCCAAATTCCAAAGTAGCCCGAGGCTGTGGTAGAGTACTAAAATTGTAATGAAATTAATCTGTCAAAGTAAAAGTGACTATAAAAGGAATTCTCTAAAATAAAAAATGAAGTGGCCCGCATACTTATGGTCTCCATTTCTGTCATGGAACCATCTTTCACCCGTTCTACACCCATAGCCTCTTGGGATGTACTTTATGATCAGTTGACTGAGCTACAGAAAACTTGTCCTTAGTTTACTGATGATTCTGCACAATATGCAGGCACCACTTGAAAATGGATAACAGTATCACTACATCCCCTTTCTGAGATCTCCTCAAAGCACAATGATGAAGGAAAGCCTCCCAATGGGCAGAATGTTGAGTGGTACACCTGGTTGTTCAATTTGCTTGGATGGTGAAATGGCCAAATGCATGACGGTATACTAATTCACAAGATGTGGCCTAATGGCTCGGCTGCATGGTCAGGGACTTGGAAGAAGCATGGTTGGAAGATCTGTGACAAGGAAGTATAGGGGAAATGTATATGGATAGACTTCTCTGAATAGGGAAAAAGGAGGAAGATAGTTGTGCCGCCGCGCCCCCCCTCCCCCGCCAAAGAATTACTTCTGCAGAGGAGGATTTTAACAATCAAGTGGCTATGATGATATGTTCTGTGGAAACCAGTCATCCTCTTTCCCCAGCCACTCATGTCCTTATCCAATAGTCACATGAACAAAGTAGCCATGGTGGCAAGGGCGAAGTTTATGCATGAGCTCAGCCACATGGACTTCTATTCACCAAAGCTGAATTGGCTACAGCCACTGATGAGAGCCCAATCTACCAGCACAGAGACCATTCCTTAAGGGGATCAACCAGAAACCTGCTGGCAGGTGATTACATAGGACCACTTCCTTCATGGAAAGGGCATCATTTTCTTCTTACTGGAATAGACACTTACTATGGATACAGATTTGCTTTCCTGTAAGCACTACTTCTGCCAAAACTACCTTTCATGGGCTTACTGAAGGTCTTTTCCAATAGCAAAGTATCTCATACAACATTGCTTCAGATCAATGGACTCACTTCATAGCAAATTTCATATGGCAATGGGCCGATGCTCATTAAATGCACTGGTTTCCCATCATCGTGAAGCAGTTGTATTGATAGTACGAATGGCATGAATTTCTAAAGACACAATTATGGTGCCCACTTGGTGGCAACACTTTGCAAGGTTGGGGCAATGTTCTTCTAGTAGGCTTTATATGCTCTAAACCACCATAGTGCTGGTTTACTGATAGCCAGGATTCAAATTTCCAGGAACCAAGGGGTGGAAATGGCAATGGCACCACTCACTATTACTCATAATGACCCACTCATCATATTTTTGTTTCCTGTCCCTGCAACCCTCTGTTCTTCAGGTCTGGAGGTCATAGTTTCAAAGAATTAATTCCATTGAAATGACTGTGACCTAAATAATGATACCGACTTAAGATTGATGTATACTATCCCAATTCTATCTTATTATCCAAACAAACATAATCCAATAATGTAGAACATAATCCAATCCTGGTTTATTAACTACAGCTAGAGGTTATGATGTACATTATATCACAGAATGGAGACTAATCACACAATACTGAGAATCAAGGCCTTGTCAAATTGACACACATTTATAGGGACACAGTTTGATCTATGATATTCAAAATGCTCCTGTTGCCAGTAGAATCTTCATCTCCATGGTCATTTCTAGACCTTTTTTTCCCCATTTATGTCAAGCTCTCTTTTGCCCATTTTCTGATAATATCAACTATTTTTAACTCTACTTTTATTCCTAAAATTAAGCAATTATAGAGAACACACTATAACCAGGCTGATAGACTCCTCTATAGACCCAACTCTAAATTCGTCCGGGCCCTCTATCTTTCACAGTTAACCTTTCAGTTTATTACCCCTGACTTTTTCATCTATTTTCAAGAAGGAAACGTTCCAATTTCCCTCAAGATTCTAATGTTACAACTTTTCCTTCACTGCTAACACAAGACCTCTTGTTTCACTGGAGATAGTCACCCTACCATGTGAACATCTTCACATATCAAAATATTTATATTTTAATGTATTTTATCCTAATTCTTTCCTGTATCAGAAAACTATGTGCCGCCATTCCTTTCCAAGATTTAACACGCCAATGGATCGCCTTGGTGGAGTAGTGGTTATAAGTTGGAAGTTGAAAGTTCAAAACCACTAGCTGTTCCTCAGGATAAAGATGGAGATTTCTACTCCCATATAAAAGTTATGGTCTCAAAAACTCATGGGGGCCAGTTCCACCTTGTCCTATAGGGTCACTTATGAGTTGGCATTGTCTCAATGACAGTGAATTTTT